GAGCCCGCCCCGCGCGTGAGAGAGAGGGCGCTGCCTCAGGGTTCCCCTTTTTCTGCAGCTCAGAGCCTGGGGAAGTGATTGCTCAAAGGTGGGGGCCGGAAGAACCCAGGTTTCCGCGTCTCCCGCCTCCCCCCCAGCCGGGTTGGGAGGAGCTGGGGCGGGACACCTTGTCCGCCCCCGCCCCCGCCGGGTTGAATCTGGCAGCCGCTCAGCCCTCCGAGCCATAGGGGAGGCGCTGCGCCCCCCACCCCAGCCGATCGGGGGCTCCGGAACGCCTCAGGAGTACCTCCTGCTCTCTGACTTGGGTCCCTGCTGCTGCAGTGCACGCCCCTTCGGCAGCCAGGGTGGGGCTCAGACCCAACCTGGCCCCTCCCGCCCCCGTCCCGCCTTTGGGTCGCTGGTGAGTGGGGCACCGAGGCAAGTTTTTGAGGCAGGGGTGGGGACGTCAGGCTGGAGGAGACAGGCTTCTCCAAACCAGACCCTACTAGCAGAGAGAGCAGGAGTGGGTGGGTCACCACTATCCTTTCGAAGGTGGGCTAGGGAGGGCTGGCCTGTATTGGAGGGACCAGACCAGGGCTCATCTGCCAGGAGTGGCAGATGGGGGAAGGCATTAACTAGGATCAGAAATGGGAAAGGAGCCCCTCTGTCAACTCCCCTCCCAAAGGTCACGACATTTTTTTCTGGGATTGTCACATTTTCTTATTCTTTTTTTGGACTGGGCAGGCTCGAGGACGTTCTTTTTCCTTCTGTGGAACAGAGCGGCAGCCACTCTCGAGGGAGCCTCTGTCCCCAGAGACCAGACTTGCCGCCTGTCCGGCCTCTCCCATCCTAGATTTGGGGGCCAAAGCCTGGGGGAGCTGGGGAAGAGGGAGGAACCTCCAATACCAGGATGAGGGGCAGGAGGACCCTAATTCAGACTCTGTCCCCCTGGAGAGAAGGCAAGTGGCCCAGGGCACCCGTGGGTCATCTGGGGACATGGGTGGCCCCAGCTGACCTGAGAAGAGTTCAGGGAGCCAGGTCCAGGGACGGGCAACTAGGGGAAGAAGGGACTGGATACCTCCTCTGCACCAGACCCAGACCCCAGCCCCATACCCCAGGCAGCTCCCCTTCTCCAGGTCATAGCTGGGTTGGAGATAGCTGCTGGGAAGGGACAGTCTCAAGGAGGCTAGAGTGGGGGAGGGCCTTGGTAAGGGTAGAGGAGGAAGAATGCCACTGCCTAGGGAAGTCACAGCCATCTGGGCACAGCTACCAGACCTCAGGCTGCCACGCCCCTTCCTTTCCTTAGAAACTTGACCCCTAAAGAAAGGCCCAGCTGTGGGGCTGCTTTCTGTCTGTCTGTCTGCTGGGAGACTGTGGGAACCACGACCTCAGAAGAAGCTGGGCAGGTGGGGGGAGGCTGATGCCCCAGGATGCCCTGCGCCTGCCCCAAATGGGCCAGGGCAGCGGGTGCCCCCGAGTGCCACTCACACACCACCCAGGAGGCCCCAAGAGATGAACAGGGACAGAAACAAGGACTCAAAGGCCACAAACTGGGGAAGGCATGACGCAGAGGATGATGGTTAGATGAGAAAACAGTCAAACCAAGTAGTTAGCCTCCGAGAGTGGTGGCAGACGGCCCTCCCCTGGGCAGAGGCAGGCAGAGGCCTTCAAGACTGCCTCCTCCAAGCACTGACTGGGGCTCCTGTGCTATCACCCAAGGAGATGTGGAAGTCTGCAGTGGCTTCTTAGGTGGTATGAGGGCTGCTTCCAGCTTGGGCACTTCTTGCACACCACCATTGCCAATAGTGCAGGTGCACACTAGGAAGGACGTGCTCACATCCCTGGGCCCCTCAGAGATCCCAACCAGAGAGCAAGGTGCCCCCACTCCCCTGGCTGGCCCGCCTGCAATGGGACCTTGAGGCACAGCAGTTTCACAACATGGAGGCAATGAGCAGGGAGAGAGGGGAGTTCAGAGTGCAAGCAGGGGCATGGGTTGTGTGGACCAAAAACTGTGTTCCCTGCGGATACAAGTCTCTCCTCACCAGTGCTGTGCCTGGCCCACCTCCCACCCTCGCAGGAAGTCCTGTCTGATTCCCACTCAAATCCTCAGTCTGAGGCCAAGCCTGCTGCCCCGGCTGGGTCTGCTGGGGCCGACAGACAGACCTGGTCTCTTGGCAGTGAGCAGCTCCACCCACCTCCCACCCCAGAGTCTGGGCAGAAGCCCAGAGGGATGTCTGCCCACCACCCGGGGCACCAGCCTGTAGCCCTAGACTTTGGGGCCCCTTTGAGAGGGGCTGGGAGCCGGAAACCAAGAAAGAGGAACCCAGGCTTCCGGCTTCCCAGGGCTGAGCGGATGGGGGCGTCCCAGAACCTCCCGTGGGGGCCTCCACTGGGGCTCAGCTTGGGAGAAGGGGCCAGAAGCTGCTGCAGCCCCTGCCTCACTGACGCTGGACCCCCTCCCAGCCCTGCTGTAGGCAAGGGGTGAGGGTAGCAGCCCAAGGCAGAGCTGGATCTGGGAGTAGGAGGCAGGAGCAGGTCCTGCCAGGGAGATACCCTCTCAGGACCCCTCCCAAGGGACAAGTGGGGGCTGGAGTTGCAGGTTCTCACCCAGAACTTTGACCCCTCTCCCTAGACCCCCAGGCTGTGGTGAGGGTCCAGGAGTTGGCACCACGGAGCCTGGGCAACCTCCTTCACCCATCCATGCCCACCCCACATGAGGCTGAGAAACAGGTATGCCTCTTCCCCCTCTGCCTCTGGCCTCCCAGGGGAGATGGGAGGGCAAGTTGAGGGCCACAAGGCACTGGGAAATCCCTGAACACCTGGGGACTGGGCGGATCCTGGGAGTGAATGGGGGAGAGGTGGAAGGTCTGGTGGGTTCTGGCCCTGAGACTAAGGGGTCCATCTTTCCCCAGCACACAGGGCCAGAGGAGGCGGGCCGGCCCCCCTCAATGTCCAGCCATGATGCGGCGCCCCCGGCAGCCCCCAGCCGCAACCCCTGCTGCTTGTGCTGGTGCTGCTGTTGCAGCTGCTCCTGGTACGTGGCCTGGGGACCATAGCCTGCCTGGTGGGGGGAGGGGGCAGGCAGACCCAAATGGGACCCTCTGGTGACTTCTGAGGCAGCTCTGCAAGCAGGATGCCCCTGCCTCCTCCAAGCACCATCCGCGCCTTGGCCCCCAGAGGCTTGTGTGTGGCTCTTGTACCCAGTGTGCCAAGGGCATGTCTGTGTGGTCACATACACACATCTGCCCATTCACTCAGCACATATTGCCAATGCTGCTGTGAACCATTCATGCTGGGCTCTGGGGACTGGTGATGGACAGGACAGGCACAGACCCTACAGACTGTGAAGTGAGGGGATGTTTGAGCAGAGGCCCAAATGAGGGTGCAGCTGGCCCAGGGGCTTGGGAAGAGCTTCATGGGGGCATGCATGGGGGCATGCATGGGGACAGCAGGGCGCTGGGGGTCTTGGGTGTCCCTAGGAGGGCAGGAGTGGGCTCCAGATGGTGGCAGGTGTTCTAAGAGTGCAGGGAAGCTGGTGGGTGCTTTCAGGCATCAGGCCCTTGGCCATTTAGAGAACAGCACTGGGGGACCCAGCGTGGGCTCGGCTGACGAGTGACCAGTCTAGGAGTGGAGCCAAGGGGCAGTGAACACTGCTGAGCTCTAGCTGGACCGTGGGTTCAAGATGTCTGTCGGCCATCTGAGTGGTCCTGGAAAAGGGCGGGTGGAGGTATGGATTTGGGCCCAGCACCAGCAGCGTGCTAGGAGACAAGGCAGGGCAGGAGATTTCCTAGAGGGGATCAGGGGCCAGGCCCCAGGACCTGGCAGGTGCAGACAGGAAGCACTGGCTAACAAGACACGTTGCTGACACTTCAGACCTGCAGTGTGGACCCACTGGTGAGAAGGATGGGGCTGAAGTCAAGCACAAGAGTAGGGTAGTGCCCAGCAAGCCAGAGGTGGGGGAGGTGGGTACCAGAAGGCCACAGACTGCAGAGGCCACCAGGTCAAACTGCTAAAAAGGAAGAGCACAGAGGCTGTGGCCTGGGCACTGCAACAGGGACAGCAACCTGGACACACAGATGCAGTAGGGGGATGAGGGAGGGTAGACACCTTGCCTAGGAAGGTGTAAAAGGAGCCAGCTCGGGAGGCTGCCCTGCCCTGCAGTGAGTTCCCATGTGCCAGGTGCCATGTGTCAGGTGTTTGTCCATGTACTAAGGACCTGTGTGTGGCCATGGGGGTGTGTATGGAGGCCGTGTGCCCCAGGCAGTGCCGCCTCCTCTCTGTCCTCAGGAATGAAGGGCGGCGGCGTGCATGGCAGGCCTCCCGGGAGAGCAAGCTGCAGCCCCTTCCCAGCTGCGACGTATGGTGAGTCCCGCTGGCCAAGTGTGTGAGTTGGGGGGCCCCGGACCAGGGGCCTTGGCCTAATGTGGTCTGGCCCCATGTGAGCAGTGCCACGCCAAGTCCCGAGGAGGTGCAGAGCTGGGCACAGTCCTTCGACAAGCTGATGCATAGCCCGGCGGGCCGCAGCGTGTTCCGGGCATTCCTGCGCACAGAGTACAGTGAGGAGAACATGCTCTTCTGGCTGGCCTGCGAGGAGCTGAAGGCTGAGGCTAGCCAGCACGTGGTGGATGAGAAGGCACGGCTCATCTACGAGGACTACGTGTCCATCCTATCCCCCAAGGAGGTATGTCACCACAAGACGGGCCAGGGCACAGCCTGAATTGGGTGCTGGGTGGGGAGGGTGCCTCCCAGGCCTCCTGATCTCAGCACCTCGTCCCGCAGGTAAGCCTGGACTCCCGTGTACGGGAGGGCATCAACAAGAAGATGCAGGAGCCATCGGCGCACACATTCGACGACGCGCAGATGCAGATTTACACGCTCATGCACCGGGACTCCTACCCCCGCTTCCTCAGCTCTCCCGCCTACCGCGCCCTGCTGCTGCGGGGGGCCTCCCAGTCCTCCTCTGAGGCCTAGGCTTCCCCCTGAGGTATGGACACGTGCCTCTTCTGTGGGCAGACTCTGGGTGCCTTTGCAAGCTGGTGTCAGCGGGGTATCAGGGCACACACCTGCAGGCCCAGCCAAGCTGGCAAGGCCCCAACCCTGGTGGCAGTCCTGGTCCCCATGGGAAGCACCACAGCTCCTGGCTCTGCCCTTTTGGGGCCTAGCAGGAGCTCTGAGGGTGGGCAGGCTGGAACCTCCTCACCAGCCCACTGCTGGCTGGCCTAGTTCCCCTGGCAGGGCCCTTGTACAGTAAGAGGAGTCCCTCAAGGCATCCTGGACCCAGGCAGCCAGTAGGCCTGACACAGGCCTTGGGTGGAGGATGGAAGCACTGCATCATCTAGTTCTGTAACATGAGACCCTCCTGCCTGAGCTGTCTGCACCCAGAATCAGACCCAGAACCTCAGAACTAGGCTCAAGGTGACAGGACCCAATTTCTATTTTATATGTCCATGAACGTTAAACTTGGAAATATGTCCTTACTATGTGTTTTACAAGAAAAAAAAAATTTCATATATAGCTCTATCCTTCCGTCCCTGCCCCTCCCCCCAATAGGATGTCTTATTGTTGATGATATTTTTAAAGCAAGTCACTCCTCTATTTCTAAGTTTGGGGCAAGATTAGAGAATAAGGAACTGTCCCAACATCAGGGCTGGGAGCCATCAGCAGGGTGTCAGGGCAAAGGGTCTAGTGCCCACTTGGAGGGAGTTACAGCCTGAGCGCTCCCTCATCCTGGTCTCCCACCCGACCTCAGAACAGTGGTCCCTGTGGGTGGCCATGCTTAGCCCTGCCCAGGGTGCTGGCTCCATGCCCTCAGCCTCAGCCTTTCAGCTGTAGACTGGGGTCAGAGCAGAGTGACCCACAGCCCAAAGGTGTGAGGCAGTGGGAAGTGCTGCCCAGGCCCTCAGTGAACAGGGGTCCTTAGTAGGTATCAAAGGCTGTCCCCTGGAGGCAGGCCAACAGGGGCACATCATTACCTAGGCCCTGCCAGGCAAGCACTCACCCTCAGATTTCTGGGAAGTTAAGCGACTTGAAACAGGAATTGGCTCAGGGCCTTGAGACCTGCCTTCCATAGGGTGAGCAGAAAGGGATGATGGGGACAGCCATCCATGGGGACACAGTCCTGGCCCTGAGCTGCTGTGCCTGAGGTGAGGGGACACAGCAGGGTAGTTTAGCCCAGGCCATGCATGGGACCCCAAGCTGTCTGCTTGCACACAAGGCCCTCTCCTACCTGCACACAGCCAGCTTGGCTGGGCTGCCCCACACACACCTGTTGCACACTTGCTCGAGCAGAGAGGTGCTTGCTCTGTTTGCCAAGGTCTCCCAGCACTGACCCACCAGGCCAAGCCCAGGTGTCGACTGACCCAGGGAGAAGAGCTGTCCATGGCAGCAGGGGATATGGACATGGGGGACAGGGCCCACCAGAGCAAGGGCTGAGGACAGCGAGGTGGCAAAAAGAAACATTTAATAGTGAGGGGAAGGGCAGAAAGGGGCACTCCAGGCAGGCAGGTTCAGGCAGGGCATGCCACCATCCAGGGGTCTCCAGAGAAGCTGTGCCAACCGAGGAGGTGGGAGGGGCCAGCACTGGCCATGGTCCAAGGCTGCAGCCTATCTGCATGGGCTCAGCAGAGCTGCAGGAAAGGCGTGAGGTGGCTCCACATCACTCCCCAGGGAGGGGGCTCCCTCACCACACCCAAGACCCAGGAGGTGTGCCAGGCACAGCCATCCCCAGGTCACACCACAGATCCCATGGAGGCTGAGACCACCTCCAGAGGGCAGGTCAGCAGGGGCATCCTGCGCTCACCCACCCACCTTCCAGCGGTTTCCACACTCATTGCAGACAACAAAGGTGGTCATGGGCTCGTCTGAGCTGCGGGTCTGCACCTGCAGAAGTGGGGTGAGCCCAAGGTCACCACTAGGCTCTGGCAGAAGGGCATTGCCTGACCAGGCAGTGCTGATCTACCAGTCGCTGGGCCCATCGGGTGACCTGTCTGTGGTTCCCCAGCGACCCCAGCCTCCCATAGCTGAGTCCCAGAGACTAAGGCAGTATCCACAGGGGCAGAAGCCTTCAGGTGGGACAGAAGCACCTCATGCTTCCTGGCCCAAAAGCACCCTGACTCTCAACTTGCAGAGGTCCCAGTACCTGTGGCCACTTTTTGGAAGGCCCAAGGCGAGCTTTACCCCACAGGCAGTGCAAGAGCAAGTGGCTCCGCACAGACACAGGCTGTGCAGTCCGTGGGGAAGCAGGGCAGCCTCCAGGCCCCTTTGAGCCTGTCTGCCAATGACAGTGACTGCCTTGCCCTGCTTTCCTCAGACCCTCAACAGCTCATAGGGCCCATACAGTCTCCCCAGGCCTCAGTCTCCACCTCCATGGCAAGGACTGAGGGTCCCACAGACAGCAGACCACATGGCCATCCTGTGTACCCTCCCCCCACTGAGCACACAGGATGAGTGGACTCCCCCTACTGGGACACTACCTCTCTGGGGGTCCTGGATAAGGAGAGTGGTCCCTGATGGTGACCATCACTCCCTACCTAGTCAGAGACTGAGAAGCTCAGTGGGAAGCCCACCCACAGACTCCAGCCTGGCTTTGCATTCCCCTGTGAGAGTGGACCCACCCTCCAGAGGCATGGGCTCTGGGCAGGGCACCAGGCACCCTGAGGACACAGGCTGGGGGGACTGCCAGCGGCTGCTCACCTGCATGTAGGTGCAGTTCTTCCGGCACTTGCTGCAGGTGAATAGGTCGGTCTGCGTGCCGCCAGTGCGGGCCATCTGGTGCTCGCGGATGGCTTCCTTGGTCATGGCCTTGCGGATTTCCTTCAGCTCATCGCTGGCCATCTCCTGGATGAAGAGCAGACAGCTTAGCCCACACTCCACACAGACACCCTCAGTCCCCCAGCAGAGCTCACCTCCGACGTCATCACAGCGATCTGCTGGGGCGCTATGGTGCCACACAGCACGTTCCGCCGCAAGTCGGGATTCTTGGCATCCTTCAGGTTGGAGATGCGGCTCCTCACCCGGTTCTTATACTTCATGTCTGTGTTCCCAACATCCCGGAAGATGCGTGCCAGCAGTTAAGGACCCATCCGAGGCCATGCCGCTGTCCTCCCCCACCCCCAGCTCTATGGGGGCCCGTGTTGGAGGTGGGGCTAGGAGGCTCTGCCCAGCCACATGGGAGCTGTCTGCCCACCTAGGCCTGGTAGAGAGCAAAGGACTGCAGGCTCCACTGGACCCAGCCCTGACTCGAGACCCAGGAGCCAAAGCCCAGGCAGAATCAGGCCCTCGGCAGGGTCCTGGGAGCCTTCCTGAGCAAGACGGCGGGATCACCCCAAAGGCGCTGGATAGCTAGGCAGCAGCATCCAGCCGCCAGCAGGGAGAACCAGGCTCAGCAGCCCCCTGACTTCAGAGCCTCAGGCCCTGCCAGCTCCAGCAAAGGATATATTCCTCAATCTGGGCCGACAGATGCTGGCAGTCCGCACCAATGGCCACGTGGTCATCTGCAAGAGAGAGCCCTAACCAGGCTTCTTCACCCCCTACTGGCTTCTCCGCCTGTCACCCCCTCTGCCTGTACAACACCCTGGCAGCTGATGGGACACCTGTGTCCCTGGGGACTCTGGATGGGGTGATCCACTCTAGGCCAGCCACAGCCCACCTATGAGGCCCACAGCCCCATTCCTCAACTCTCCAGGCCTTCAAGTTACCCCACGCAGGCCACTGCCCTCATCTGGACAGACCCCCCTATCTCCCGCCCCTGCTCTGTCTCCCAGCAAAGGCTTGTTTCCTCCAAATCCTCACACAGATGGGGCTGGGCACATACAGGCCACACCTCCATACAGGCACAGCTCCTCAGGGTTTGAAGGGCCGAGCGCCCACCCCAGAGTCCGGGCACTCTGGTATCCCCAGGACCCTCTGCTCCTTCCCAGGATGGCTACAGTGGGCTGAGGGGGCAGGCCGTCTTCTGGAAGCAAGCCTCTGTGGGCAGGCAGGAGCCCAGGCCCCCCTGTGAACCCAGATGGTGTGTCAAGACAGGCCCTGCCAGGCACTCACGGTCTGTCTGCAAGGCGGCCGTCAGCATCTCACGGCACTTGTTGCGCACAGCATCGCAGGTGACAGGAACTGGGGGGAACGTGGTGATCCTGGGTGGCTCTGGTCTCCTGCGGCTGGAGAGAGACAAGGCCAGCTGGGCTCAGGCTGCATGCAACCAGCCAGATGCCGATCCCAGAGGAGCAGGTGCCTGTCTCAGCACAATCCCCACTCTAAGCCCCATTTGTGCTCCCCCCCACCCCAGAGCCCGACAAGGCCTGTGGCCCTGCCCATCTTGAGTCCAGCCAGCATGCCATGGGGTCTGTCCAATCCCAGGAAGGGGTGGGTCTTGAGTTCTCTGCCAGATGGGAACAGGATGCCAGATCCCTTTCTGGCAACTGGAGCCGAGGCAGCAGCCCTAGCTGGTCAGAGTGGGCTGAGCAGTTTCTGTCACCCATGGGGCACTCATCCCCAGCCACACCACGAATACCTCCCCACTGATGGCAGCCACAGCTGCTGCCAGGACAGGGAGAGATCTATGGCTGCCTGGGTCACCCAAGGCCAGATTCTGCTGTCACAGGTGACCCCACTTGGCAGGTATGAAATCAACTCGGGAAGGCATGCCATGAGCTCCTGGCCACATAGATAGCTTCCAGTCACAGCTACCCAGTCTGGTCAAGGGCAGAGTGTCTCTCAGTCACAGATTGTCACCATGAACACCCCCAGCCTGCATGGCAATGGAGACCAGAGCCCAGGAGCCAAAGCCCAGGCAGAATCAGCCCCTTGGCAGGATCTGGGAAGCCCTCCTAGGGTAAGACTCCCAGGCAGCTGTGTCCACACATGTACATGCAGGGTAGGAGGGGGCGCTGGGTACTTGCCTTGATTCTGGGCAGAACTTTCTAGGAAGAAGGGGCCCTCATCGAGGGGGGTTAGGGAGGACGGCCAGAGCAGGACGCAGAGAACCAGACCCAGCACAGGGTCTCAGGGGATGTGGGGAGGGTCTCCCACAGGCTCACTCGGGGAGAGGCCATCACGGCAGCTTCCAACAGCCAGACACTGCCTGCACCTCAGGATAGGGTAGGCGCAGTGCCCCATGGACGAGTGTCCAGCAAGAGGCTGTCCACTCCCTTGAGCAGTGCCCGGGCACACGGAGATCAGCACCCTCTCTGCAAGGAAACAGGCTAGAAGCAGGTGGGTGTGCACCTCCTTCTAGGTGTGCTACCTGGGATCCTCGGCCTCTGATACCGCCTTCGATGATGACGGAGCCAGAGGCATGCCCCGGCCCTGCTCCCTGGCTTTGTCGTGGGAAGCATCTGCAGTTGCCAGAAAAGAGGAGGGATGGGCTGATAAAGGAAGGCAAAGGAGCGAGGGAGCCGGTCACCACCCGGGGCAATTTTAGCCAGACCACCAGTGCTGCCACCCACCCAGCCAGCCCAGCCCAGTCCCGCCCCCGAGACAAGCCAGGGCTCAGAATCCCACCATGCTCCCCTGCCAGTGGGTCTCTCTCCCCAGGAACCCTTCAGACTCTGCAGCCCTAAGGCGCCTCCACAGCCCCTTTCCTGCACTAGCCCCACTCAAGTGGCCACCTCTGGGGCTCACCCTCCTGCCTGTTCTGGCCAAAGGGACCAAGCATGCCCCCAAAAAGACCTTCCTGAAACCCCAGCCTTGAATGGAGCCCAGCCCAGAGCCTGCACTGAAGACCAGGACATGGCTGTGCCCCACGCAGCCCAAGAGCTGGAGAGAGATCTAGGTCATGTGGCTGTTTCACAAGGGTGTGGACAGAGTCCAGAAGGGGCTGCCTCCCCATCCGGGAGAGACATCCCCGGACACCCCACTGTCCCATGGAAGAGACTGCCTGCTGTCCCGCCCAGCCATTCCCAGGCCAGGGGCTTCCCTCTGTTCCCTGACAGCCGGGGTGACTCCGCCTCCTCCCTTCTGCTTCCTGTCTCCTGATCTCCCCCTGGTCAGGAGGTGCCCTCTAGAGCATCTCAGCACTGCCTTCCCCTCTGCATGGCCTCCCCAACTCAGCCCCATCCCTCTAGGGCTCCTGGCTGCACTCACTGTTGGCCACTTCAGGTCCCAGCCTCAACTTCCTCCTCTCCTTGTTCTACACGGAAGCCCTCACCAGCACATACACACCCCCAGCCATGCCTCCTGGTCCAGGCTGCCACCATCCCACCCCCAGGTGGCCTTGCTCAGGGTGGCACTTCCCCCACCCTGCACTGTGCAGACCCACCAGAGGCTAGCACTCCTCAGGGTCCCTTGCCCCAGTGCTCCCTGACCCGCACCCAGGAGCTTCTTCCAGGACTTGATGAGGGACTTGGCCAAGGCAATGACCTCCTCGTCAGAGCTCTGCTTCCGAAGGGCGTTGACAGACATCCCAACTCGGGTGGACTGCAAGGCAAGTGGCCTGGGTCGGGTGGGGTGGGGTGTGCCCCGTCAGATCTTCCTAGCAGACCCTGGGTGCTCCCACGGGGCAGGAGCTGGGGCCCAGCAGAGGGGAGGTAGGCACCTGTCCCCACGGCTGCCCTTCCTTTTGGAAACCAGGGCCTCGACTGTGGAGGACAGGACAGATTGTCCTCAGACTGCTCCCTGCCCTGTCGAGCACCAGAAAGAGAGGGGGACCCTCGCCTCAGAACAGGCGTTTGTGCCAACCAAGGCCTGGGAGTGGGGTAGCCCTGCCAGGCACTGTCAGAACTGCTGTCCCCTGGGCTGTCCCAGGAGCTGCCCCTGACGGGCAGGCAGAGGCCTACCTGGAGCAAATGCAGTGTGACAGGCACGGCCTTCAGCTCCCGCAGCAGGTCCACAGCCCCTTCCTAGAAGCAGAAGGGGGACCTTCGTAAAGGACTTCAGGTCTCAGTGGACAGTGCCATCTCCTCCTGCCTGCTGGGGGCACATGGCAGTGGCGACTTAAAGAGCCCACCTGGGGTCAAGGAAACCACCACTCTTCTCCCTGGAGACACTCAGGGCTCTGCCACATGTCCTTTCACCATAGCAAGCCAGTTCCAGAATGGAAGGGCCCTGCCTTCTCCGCATCACAAGTCATGTGACCTCCCACCCGCATCCCTGGCAATGGCCCCACCAACCTCACGGTAACCACCTCAGGTCACTCACCAGGACATGGGAACTGCCAGGGCAACCACCTCAGGTCACCCACCAGGACACGGAAAATGCCAGGCTCCCACGCAGTTCAGGACAGCCCCTCCCGGCAGCCAGGGCCACACCCGCATGAAGGTGCAGCCCCAGCTCCCTCCCATGCCCACTCCCCAGTGTGCAGAACAGCCTGCCCCGGAGTGCCCCTCGCAAGCTGGATGGGGCTGATCCACTCTAGACACAGCCACAGTCCACCTACGAGGCCCACAGCCCCACTTCTCATTGACTCTCCAGGCCTTCAAGTTACCCCCACGCAGGCCACTGCCCTCGTCTGGACAGACCCCCCTATCTCCCGCCCCTGCTCTGTCTCCCAGCAAAGGCTTGTGTTTCCTCCAAATCCTCACACAGATGAGGCTGGGCACATACAGGCCACACCTCCACTACAGGCACAGCTCCTCAGGGTTCGAAGGGCCGAGTGCCCAATCCAGGATCTTTGCCCCTGTAGTTTCACTGCCAGCACACCTCCCCAGGACAGCTATAGGGCTCGTGCCCATCTCCCTCCAGCATCTTGTTCAAATGACACTTCTCAGTGAAGACGCTCCTGCTTTAAGCCCCAACTGTGCCACACAATGCCCCATCCTCCTCCTCCTTTTTCCCAGGCCTTTATGTACAGACGCATCCCTCCCCAAACCATGAGATGAGTAGGCCCTGCCACTCAATGTCCTCCAACACAGAGGCCATGGGAGGAGCTTGGCCTTCCCTCCCCCACCCCTGAGATCTGAGTGGCATCTCTCAGGCTGCAGCCCCTCCTCACTCTTTGCTCCAAGCAGGCCCTGTCCCTGAAGCCATGCAGAGTCCAGCCCTGAGGTGGCCACCTCAGAAGGGACACGATCCTAGGGCATCATTCCCCTGATAGCTCTGTGCCAGCCACGATAACTTTCAGCAGGCTCAGGACCCCAAAGGCACAAAAGCCCCTAAACCTGGCCTCCAAGTTCCCCTGGGGGCCTCATGTGCTAGAACCCACAAGGAGCCTCTGTCGGCTCTCACGTTCACTCCTGTGTCCCCCACCTTCTCACCTGTTCTTCCCCCCAAAACTCTCTCAGTTCAGCCAGGCCCCACCCCACCCTCCGGGGCTCCAGGACCCATCTTTGAATTTTTCCTGCTCCAGCTTTATCCTTTGTATTTTGTCTCCTTTAAGAAGGGAACTCTGGAAACAGCTACAGATCCCCAAACACCCCCACTCTGTGCTGCCCACAGTCTCCCAGGGGTGTGAACACAACGGGGGGCTGCTTCCAGCATGAATAAATGAGTGGGAGCCGCCTCCTTCCTGGCATAGACTCCAGGCCAGAACCCTGGTTGACTGGAAAAGACTCAACTCTGCAAAACCCATCAAGCCAACCCCAAACCCCACTGCAGTCACACAGCCCGGGGTGGCCGCACAGCCATCAAAGCCCGTGACTCAGCCCCTTCCGTGCCCTGGCCTGGTCCAGCGGACACACAAGCCTGCCCTGCCCAGGAGCTTACAGTCTGGGTGGACAAGCACAGGTCGAGTTTATTGAGGCAGCCAGGCCTTCCACGTGACCTGAAGGCTGGATACCTCCCCACCCTCCGTGAGGCACTATCCACTAAAGATGCTTCTGTGGGAGGTTGTATAGGCTGCTAAGGTCGAGAGGCTGCAGTTGGACCCCCACTGGCCTGGCGCCTATCAGAGGCCTCACAAGGCCTCCTCCAGAGGCTCAGGCCGAAGTAAGCAGAGCTGGCCAGTAAGCAGAGGACCCGGCGCCCGGACACTCCCAGGTTAGGCTTGCCGGACCTCCCAGGTCTTACATAAGTACCTAGGCTCTTTTCAGAGAGTGTCTACATATATACCCACACCCAAGTGGCTGCTGGCTGAGTCCAGTCCTGGCTAAGGAAGGGAGAGAATTTATTAAAGAAACCTGGTTCTGGTGAAGTGGGGCAGACAGGGAAGAAAATAAGCCCCACAGCCTGGGCGGCCTCTGGCTGCCTTCTGGAGGATACCAAGGGCCAGGAAGAGGTAGGGGAGGCATTGGGAGGAGGGGATCCAACCTCGGACCATGACAGGCCAACAAAGGGCACGGGCGGCGACCACAGGCGACCGAAGGTGCGGGAGGATTCCGAGTTGGGGGCGGGGCTGAGCCTGAGCTCTGAAGGCCCTGAGAATGCCTGACGGAGGAAGGCAAGGGGGGCGGGGAAGGTAG